TTTTGAAAGGAGGCTTTTAATCGAGTGCTACACTATCTATCAATCTAATTTTGGTTCGAAAAGACATTAGAGTTTTGAAAGGTATTTTGGTGAGGATTTCGAACACTACTAGAGGCGTGAAAATAACCAAAGTACTAATACGGACTATTTTATAATAAGAGTTAAGTACTATCCATATCGGATATGAGTTCGAAAGGTAAGAAAAGGAAATTACTTAGGTTTAATATTATATCACCAAAAGAAAACCAAAATACTTAGCATCGTTCATAGGCCCTCGTACAACTTCCAAAAATCCTGGGCAAGATCTTGATCCGCTACTTGATCCATTCCGGTGCAGGGTTACTAGTACTACTACCTGGAATTAAAATCTCTTAAGAAATCCGATGAAATACCGAACTTTGAAAACACGTTATATATAATATATAATATTATATATCCATCCTTAACCACATTCCAAACTTCACAAGACAAAAGGTTAATCACATAGTTCATGAAAACACATTATTTATACATAAACACGTACTTATGCAAAATGACTAAAATGCCCTTTTTATGAAAATCGTGAAAAAAAAACATTTTTCGTCTTATCGGATCCGTGAATGATTAATTTATGTACCTGAATAATAAACCTCTTACGAGCTCGTTTTCACTAAGTGGAATCAAACCACAACATTTCATCCTAGTTGGATACCGGCCATGTATATCCGAGTTGTTTATTATCCGGTATTTCATTAATCTTTCGAATTTAAAAACCGTGAAATGCATCTTTTCCAAAATCATGCTTACAACAATTATCTAATCCACACATAATATCACAAATATCAATCAAGTGCCACAAAATCACACAAATGTCACAACTTACCATATATTTATAATTTGGGCAAAAATCCCCAAATTCACAGACACAAATACACACAAACACACACGGCACACACACACATACACATTCAGCATACACACGCGTATTCAGCACACACACATGCAGCCAACCCATTAATACACCACCATTCAATATTCAAACCATGTTTGTAAAGCAAGCACCGTTTTTCATCCTTCATTTAATGAACTTATTACCACTTCTAGGCAATAGATTCATTTCAATAAATTCCAGCAGTAATTAAGCACATCCATGCTTCGAATTAAGGCACACTTTCCCAAATTTCATCACTCATAATCATTTATTTAAAGACGTGAAAATTAAAGCACAAAACATAATAAATGGCATGCAAAATGTCCAAATTTCGAAATAATAGCAAACAAATTCCAAAAATTCTCAAATTACCCTAGAGCTCCTAACTGATCCAAGTTTTAGTTTCTGAAATCATTTAAAATTTTTATAAAGCTTCAAATTTTCTTGGAATTAAAAACTAAAAAAAATCCTTTTTCTTTCAAAAATCCAAAGTTCTAATATAACCTCAATTAACTTTGAAACCTTTATAGAGAATTTTTTTCCCCATTTAATACTTCCTGGAAAACAGATTCCCAAATTTAGAAATGACCGATTTTTCGGAAATTACAGGTTTGACCCCAAAGTTTCAAGATTTACACATGCAACCACACTAAAAGTTCAAAATCCATTTTTTCATGAAAAACCCCTAACAATCTAAAATTTTAATTCAATAAATGCAGAAAACAAAGTTAAAAAGTCACTTGAGGCAGAAATTTCGAAAATTACATATTTTACCGCAAAATCTCTAGATCTATACATGCATGACCACTAGAAATTCAAAAATCAAATTTTCTTCTAAAGCCTCTTTAAACCCGAAAATTTTGTTCAATAAATGCTGGAAAACATATTTGAAAACACATTTAGGACTGACTTCCTAAAAATTACGGATTTGACCCAAAAATCTTTAGATCTACACATGCAACCCCATAAAAGTTCAAAAATTCATTTTTCTTGCAACCCCTTTTTGAAATCCGAAATTTTCGATGCTTTTAGCCAATAAAACTTGTATCTGCCCACTACCAACATAAATGATGCATGCAAGAACAAGAAATTAACACTCAACACATATTTTCCATTTTCCCCAAAAATCCCTAATTTTCTCGAAATCTCTTCAAATCTTTTAAGAAATTTTGAAAATCATTTTGATACTATTGACACCCTTTAATTGCAGCAAGAAATCGAAATTTCTTACCTTATAACTGATAAAGGAAAACAACCGAAGGAAAGAGCTTTCAAATACCGAAGTCTAGCCAAACAACTTTGATTGTGAAGGAGATGGTGTGAGCTTCTAAGAGGGATGTGTTATTATCTCCCGTGAGTAGGCAAGAAGTCTTGATGGTGTTTTTGGTGTAATCTAAAGCAAGGATTAAATAGGGGACCTTCATTTTTTATTTTGGGATTTTCTTGGAAATTTGAAGTTGAGGTGGAAGAAGAGGAGGCCTACGGTGGAGGTGGTGGCTTTGGTGGAAATGAAGAATGAAGACAAGTAAGAGGAGTATGTGAAAGAAGAAGGGGAAAGAAGAGTGTCTTTTGGGCTCTCTTTGAATGTGGGATTAGTGAAATGATTAGTGTTTGCCAAGTAGAAAGGCATGCAAATTAACACTAATTTATTTATATAAAAAATAAAATATACAACTTGCACTTAACACACACATACATATATATATATATTTTGTTTCTGAATCAATCCTCATATATTGAGAAAATCCTTGATAAATTTTCTATGTTGTCTGCCAAACCTGTATCTGTTCCTCTTGCTTCTCATTTTTTGTTAAGTAAGGATCAGTCTCCCAAGACTGAACCTGAAATCTCTGAAATAAAAAATGTGCCATATACCAATGCCATTGGCTCTGTTATGTAATTGATGGTTAGTACTAGGCCTGACATTGCATATTCTATGAGTTGCTTGAGTAGATATATGTCTAATCCAGGTTTGTCTCACTGGGAGGCACTAAAATGGCTTCTTATATATTTGAAAGGTACTGTTAAAACTGGTTTGATGTTTTCTAAAGGCAAAACAGAAATTGATTTATGTGGTTATGTGGATTCAAACTTTGCCAATGATAGGGACAATAGAAAATCCTCTACCTCTTATGTGTTCACCTTAAATGGTGCTTGTGTTAGTTGGAAATCTCAACTCCAAAACATTGTTGCTCTGTCTACTACTGAATCTGAATATATAGCTGCTACTGAAGCTATTAAAGAAGCCATTTGGCTTAAAGGGCTGTTGTTGGAAGTTGACATGCTTAATTCCAAAGTGGTAGTATTTTCTGATAGTCAATCTGGCATTCAACTGTGTAAAAACCCTGTTTTTCATGATAGAACTAAACACATTGATGTGAAGTTCCATTTCATTAGGGATGTAGTTGAAAAAGGGGTTATTGACCTTGAAAAAATCCCATCTGAGTTCAATCCAGCTGACATGGGAACAAAATGTCTGCCTTCTGAAAAATTCTGTTCTTGTTTGAAAAACTTGAACATTCTTTCCAAACCTTGACTTGCTTTGTGCTAGTTTGTAGTCTGTGTGACTTGGTATTTATGCTTTCTTTGTGATTGCTTGTTTGATCTACTTATGTGTGAATAAGATTGTGCTATCTATGTGATTGCATTACTGAATTTTATTCTAAATGCATATAAGTTGTATTCTAAGTGAACTCAACTTGATATACTTGTATGAACTGTGTGCTCTTACTGGTGTGTCAAAAATCAGCAATGATGACTTCCAAATTTTTTTTAGAAGTTTTCACTAATGATTCACATTTGGTCCAAGGTGGAGAATTGTTGGTTTTTGGCCCAAATGTGTTTTGGGCCATAGAGCCCAATTGCCATCATGTTTTATACACCACCATATTTGAGTTAAGCCCAAGTTTTTATAAGTGAGCTCAATTCATTTCTGAGCCAAATCCATCCGTTGGATTTTAGACTGAATCTGGACCGTTCATTGTCTCACTTAAATACCTCTTTCTCTCTCTTCACTTCTCTCATTCTGAAACCCTAGCCATTTCTCCTTCTTCTCCGCCGCTCCTGCTTCTGTCTTCTTCCTCCCTTGTACTGCCTTGACTGAGTTATGGCTGGAGGTCAAAGTGCATGGTACAGTGCTGACTTTGACCCTGCGGTACAGCCTTCACCGGCTCTATTTGACTTCAGTCTCTATATATATTGGCATGAAGGTTGGAAAAGGATGAGAGACAGATGAAACCCTAATCCGATCTAAATCCCTCAGTTTTTTACTTTGTGAGTTCTGAAATTGGGGTTTTGGTGAGTGGGTAAGCTTGAGTGCTTGATCTGTTCTTCCTTTGTGGTTTTCTGGGTAATCTAGGGTTTGAGTGTTGTGAGAGAGAGAGAGAGAAGATCTGTTCTTCTTGAGGTACTCTGGTGGTGTATATTGGAAGTGTGAATCTCTGGTGTGAAATTGGAAGACTGAGCTGAAAATCTCAATCTATTTATCTTTCAATTTATTCATACCTTTTATTCTTTTCTTTCGTTTTATACATATCTATTTATATATATATCTATTCTCCTTGGCAGTAATTCAATACTGTGAAAGGGGAATTTATATATTTACAGTAGGTATTGATGGAGCTGGGCAATATGATACCCTACAATAAAAAACAATTCAAAAAATACAATATATATATATATATATATATATATATATATATATATATATATATATATATATATATATATATATATATATATATTTCGGAAATACAATCGGATCGGAAATCGGAATTTCCAATAATTTTATATGTAATTCCAATTCCGTTAAAAAAATAATCGGAAAAATCGAAAATCGAAATAAAAAAAAGTGTTCCAAATTCGAATATTTTCGGATCCGAATTGGCGGAATTCGAAAATTTCATTCGAATTTCCACCCCTAGCCTCAACTAATACAAGTTTCCCCCGTCGGGTATCTCTAGTATGGGCCTAACAAACCATTTTTAATTTTTAATTAAGTCAAATATTCTCATAACCCACATTGAGAGCCCATTAGAGACTTTACACAATTTTTTTTCGAAAAAACAAAAAAAAAACAAAAAAAGAAAAATAGAGTTCCCTTCTTCAAACCTCAGTGCCAAAAACCCTACTGACTCTCCATTTGAGGTTCCATGTTCTGAAAACCAAAACAGAGTGGAGTTGAATGAACATTTGATTTAAGATTGCAATGATTGTTCGGTGTCTAATTTCAAACGGAGCCCATGTCTGAACTCTTGACATCTCTCTTTTGTTTTGGTCTAGCCATGTTCATTTTCCTTCGCAGCCTCAAAACCTCTCATTTTCATGGTGTAAGCTCATCATCCCTATTCACTCCCTGTTTTTACTTTTCACAAAATATACTCACTCATTTTTTCTGTTCCCGTTGCTCTTTCTCCACAACTCTTAATTTTACCACCGATTCTAATGAACTTTTCAATTTGGAAACGATTAAGAAAGCCGTGAGTGAAGAAAGATGGAATGATTTTCGGGTTTCGGGATTCTTCGATTCGGCATTGTCCCCCATTTGGGTGTCGAAAATCTTGATCGGACTGAAGCAGGATCCTGCACTAGCTTTCAAGTTGTTCAAGTGGGCCGAAACCCAAATCGGTTTTCGCCATACGACCGAGAATTACTGCGTCGTTGCTCACATTCTGTTTTGTTCGAGAATGTACTCGGATGCCCACAGTGTTCTTCGTCAATTGGTTCTTTTACATAATAATAATAATATACAACCGTTTCCTTCTTGTACTGTATTGGATGTGTTGTGGTTGACTCGGAATGTTTGCATTGCTGGTTATGGGGTGTTCGATGAGTTATTTAGTGTATTCGTTGAGTTGGGAATGCTCGACGAAGCTAGGGATTGTTTCTTGAAAATGAGAAATTTTAAAGTGATGCCGAAAGCACGTTCGTGTAATAATCTATTGCATAAGTTTTCGAAGGTGGAGGATAGAGCGTTGGCGAAGAAGTTTTTCAACGATATGGTTGAAGCTGGAATTGCTCCGTCTATATATACGTACAACATAATGATTGGGTTTTTGTGTAAAGTCGGGGATTTAAAAGCTGCCAAAAGCTTGTTTGTTAGAATGAAGAACACGGGTGTTTTTCCCGATGTTGTTACCTACAATTCACTTATAGACGCGTACGGAAAAAATGGGGAGTTGAGCGAGGCGGTTTGTATGTACGAGGAGATGAAAGAAGCCGAGTGTTTTCCAGATTTAATTACTTTCAATACGTTGATTAATTGCTTTTGTAAATACGATAAAATGCCTACGGCGTTCACCTTTCTTCGAGAGATGAAGGAGAGCTGTATTAAACCTAACGTTGTGACGTATAGCACATTCATTGATGCTTTTTGTAAAGAAGGAATGTTGGAGCAGGGTATTAAGTTCTTTATCGACATGAGACGAGTTGGTTTGACTCCTAATGAGTTTACCTATACTTCTCTAATTGATGCAAATTTTAAATTGGGGAATACGGATAATGCTCTGAAATTTGTTAAAGAGATGTTCGAAGCTGCTCTGAAGTTAAATATTGTCACGTATACTGCATTGCTCGACGGGCTATGCGAACACGGTAAGATAAATGAAGCAGAGGAAGTTTTTAAGGCTATGGTGAAAGACGGGGTTGTACCGAACAGGATTATGTATACAGCTTTTATGCATGGATACCTTAAAGCCAAAAGAATCGATGATGCTATGAAGATTCTTGAAATAATGAAGGATAATAATATCAGACCCGATTTAGTTCTTTACGGAACTATAATTTGGGGGCTCTGCAACGTGGGAAGATTCGATGATGTGAATGCATTGTTGGACGAAATGAAGGAGCATAATGTAGAGGTCAGTGAAGTGATATATACAGCCCTTATCGATTCCTATTTCAAGGCGGGGAAAAACGTAGAGGCACGGAATTTGGTTAGTGAAATGAAGGAAAGAGGAATAAATCTGACAATCGTGACGTATAGTTCGTTAGTTAATGGTTTGTGCGGATTGGGATATGTTCACGAGGCGATAGATTATTTTAATTGTATGAAAAGTTCTGGCTTGCAACCCAATGTTGTTGTCTATACATCACTCGTTCACGGTCTCTGTAAAAACGAACGCGTCGAGGATGCTAAGAAGGTGTTTGTGGAAATGACTGAGAGGGGATTGGTTCCGGATAAAATTGCGTACACTTGTTTGATCGATGGGACGATGAAGCAGGGAAATATTGAGGAAGCGTTGGGTCTCGTAAAGAGAATGGCTGAAAGTGGGATTGAGTTGGATCTTCATGCGTACACGTGTTTAATTTCTGGGCTGTCTAGATTTGGTCAGCTTGAGCAAGCGAGGGCGTTGCTTTATGAGATGATCGAGAAAGGAGTTGAGCCCGACGAAGTTGTTTACAGTTGCCTTATACACAAGTATCATGAGTTTGGTAACACGGAAGAAGCTGATTTATTACTAGACGAAATGGCGGGAAGGGGTCATGCTCCTATTACTAGATGAGTTTGGCAATAAAAACTTATGATTTTTTCTGATGTATTGTGACATTTGACGACATGATCTTGAGGCAACGCATTGAGTTCTTGAACTTCCAACTTGCAGTGAGAGAGGTAAACATCGAGCATCTTTGTTCCAAATTCGGTTTGCCCCCTCAAGCCCATTATTTGAATTATAATTACTTATTCTGCTGCAAATGTATTGCATCTGTAGGTGTAGCTGATGATATTTAACGTTTATTTTCTTGGACTCGTCTTCTATCTATAGTTATTTGACAGTGTGGGGAAAACATATTAGCAATTTTCGTCTTCTGTTCCGAGCTTACTGAGTATGAATTATGCAAGTTTCATTGATTGCTCATTACCTATGTACACATGAAAGTAGCAGATGAGTTGCATCGTCTTCTATGTGCAGTGGAATATGCATTATAAAAGAAGTTCACTATTTTATGCATTTGCTGAATATGCAATTTGTACTCACAATCAAGTGGGGTCTTACCGCATTTCCTTTGAAAATATTTACCATTTAATTAGAAAATTCGTAAATATTACTTCAACATAGTTTCGATGTTGCGGCAAAACATGTCAACTTCAACTGTTTCAATTATCCGGATTTTACTTTCTCTGTGTTTCTTTTGTTCTCCGTAACCTGATATCTCTCTTGCACATTTCGAGACCGTCATTTTGGGATTTGTATAAATATCCAATTATTGCCTTTCATTAATTTTTGCATCACAGTCAGCATATGCTTTTGTCCTCAAATTTCGTTTACTTATTTGTGATTTGTTGTCTTAACACTTGATGCAGATTCCCACAGCGGAAAATACCAAGTTGAGGAATCATCTTTCCAAGTCCATGTTGTCAAATGAGTTACCGTATCATTCATCAAGGCGAATATCGGAACGAGCCCGTTGAAATGAAAAAAAAAAAAAAAAACTACTTTTACGGGCCCTTGATTGTTCGAACTTCTAAATTGAAGTTAACATCAGAAGTATACACCTACGTGCTTTCTTCAATTTAAATTGGTAAAGATTCTTCTGATATTCTGTACACTTTTTTTTTTCTTTTCCGTAAAAAAGCTTTTATCATGTTTTCCAAGAAACGAGATGTCAACTTTAGCTTACTGAATATCAAATTAACATAATTAAATCCGGGTTCAGTTTCTCGCGAGTCCAATCAGATTTTAATTTTAGGATCCCTTATGATCTTTATTTAGCCAACTTATTAATTTGAATTATCTGTTTAGGTTCTGCTGATGTTGCAGTTTCCTCCTGAGTGAGAAATCTTTTCTGAAGAAGAATAATTATCTTTGGTCGTATTACAAGTGTGAGTTATGATAGTGTTTATTTAGTGCTCAGTTAGTTTACCTGTTGTCGTTTTCCTTCGTCTTTTGCTTTACTACCTTTAATTAATTGTGATGTTGCAGGTTCTGAGCTTGAATCCATCCTGGTTTATTATGAACATCATGGCCCGTTAACAGTAGCGACATCTCTCCCTTTGGTACTTTCTGCACTGAATTCTTCCTTGATTATATTTTAATTTCTCGATTTAATTATGTCAATTCTTTTTCATAATGAATTTTTTCGGTTTCTTAAATGATGTATCTTTGTAAGTTATTTTTGTACCTCTTGCAGGTGGAGTTCGAAAAGAAAACTGAAAATCTCTGATCAAAAGTGTCCAACTAAAAAAGTTTACGGTTGGCTCCATTGATTTATATTGCAGGGAGAGCCGTTGCATGGATATTCTTCTTCAAGTATAAAATGAACCCTCACTCTTTATTTTCTATTTAAATAATAATAAAAAAAAAAAAAAACAGATTATTTGTTACTCCTCACGAGTGATCATAGGCACTTGGGGAACTTCATTCTTGGAAAATCATCGTGTTCTTGAAGTATAGTGATGGTGATTTCGAATATTCACCCTGGAATTTTATGTAATTACCGTGTTCTTGAAGTATAGTTATGGTGATTTTCGATTAACATGTGATATATATTTTTACTTGTTCATTTTAGCTGAGCTCATTTTTTTTTTTGGACCAACTTAGGCAATGTTTTGATTTATAATTTGTAAATTTTATTTTGGGGAAAGATGTGAAAGATTTGAAGAGTCGAACAAGCATTAACACTATTTATTTCCGATTAATCACTGTTTTTTTCACTCTGAAATTGAAGAATGTTATGAATTAACAACTAATGAGTTGTTTAGAAACAAACCATAGTGACAATGTAGTTGGAAGCCTTAAGATTACGAAGGCAACGGAACAGAACGTTAATTAAATGGTACATATTTTGTATTAAAACATTCATACTTAAAATTTGAATATTAATTTAAGGTGTTTTTTTTGCATAAGTTCCCAACCAAACATCTTTATTATTCTAGGTTTATGGGCTATATATTTTCACCAATAAACCCATCCTTTAATATTTATTATAAATTAAGGAAACATTCATGTACATGCCAATATTACCCCAACCCTTTATAAACAATTCTTAATTGTAACTTCAATTTAATCAATTTTGTCCACAAAAATCAAACTTGATCACAAAAATTCAATTTTGACTTTATTTTTTAAAAAAAAAATTTTGCCGCCGGATTCCGGCGTTGAATTTTGTTTTTTTTTCTCTTCCAGATTTTTTCGCCGGTTTACGGCGGTCTCCGGCGTTGACTTTTTTTTAGTGTTTTTCAAGTTCTTTTTTTTTTTGTTTTTTTTTACGTCCGCCGCTGAACGTTGACCGTAATTGTGCTGTCACTGACAGTAAATTAACGTAATTATACTGTCAATGATATTACTGTCTATTATTGTAATATTATTGTAAACACAATAATATTACTGTGGTTGGCGGTAATATTACTGTTGTTATAGTAATATTGATGTCAACCACATCAATATTATTATTTTGTTTGGATCTTTTTGTTTGTTTGAGTTATTCACGGAGTAACGTAATAATATTACTGTCTATTGTTGTAATATTATTGTGGTTGACGGTAATATTACTTTTGTTATAGTAATATTACTGTCACTCACAATACTATTAATTCTTTTGGCTTTTTATTATGTTTACATTTGTTGAACGGTCAACATAGTAATATTACTAAAATGTATTACACAATAATAATGAGTTTTGTTGTGTTAATATTACTGTGCTAGAGATTAATATAACAATATTACTGTGTTAAACTGTAGTTTAGTTAATTTTATTGTGTTTAACAGTAATATAGTTAATATTACTGTCAATCACAGCAATATTGTTGTTTAAACAAAAAAAAAATGTTACAGAAATAATATTTTTTTTTTGAAAAGTCAACGCCGGAATCCGGCGGCAAATTTTTTTTTTGTTTTGAAAAAAAATGTTTTGGGTCAAAATTGAATAATTTGTGAAATTTGGGGTCAAATTGAGGTTAAATTAAGTTAAGGATGAAATTGGAGCATAATAAAGTATGAGGGGCTATTTTAGTCTTTTACAATTGATGGGCATATTTGTAATGACCCCTTAAATTAATCTTATGTATCATTCTTTTCATATATCTTTATTTAATTTTCTATAACGATACATCTCTATACATCTTCTATATTTGTGATAGATCATAATTACATATCTTTAAATTTTAAGACAATAATTTTCTTAAAAAAATTATATTTAATTTAGGAGTGTTAAAATAGTTAAGATTCTAATATAAGAAGGTTGATTGATGAAAAATAATATATTATCTAATGACTAATAGTATATAAAATAAATCGAGAATTAAGTATTTTAAAGATAAATTAATACAACTAAATGAAAGATATGAATTAGAAAAAAAAAAAAAAAAAAAGAACCCGGAAGCTAAAGACAACTTCATATACTAGGGCATATTTATCAAGTATCTTGAGTTAGTCAATTCATATATGACACATGAAACTGATGATCCAACTTAACTACTTATAGACTATGTAGCACGGAAACTTCAACTAGGTTTCCATGTTTCGAAAATGTTTCTTATTGGAAACTCGAAAATACCTGCTGGATACCTTATGGTCCATTTTGCAATTTCTAAAAAGTTAGAAACGTGTGTAAATAGCAAAATTTCAAATATTTTTGTTGTTTCCCAAATTATTTACATGATTTAATGATCAATTGCAAATTGATAGTTGATCGTAAAAATTTACTTTGCATATGTTGTAGATATCGAAATTTTGAGATAAATTACTAATTAATAACCAAAATAAATCGGTTATTAATTTAGGTCTCAAATTAAAGTCCATAACATATTTGGGCTTTAAAATGTCTGGCCCACTCTGCAAGTCGAGAAACCCTAACCCTAGTTTGTGCCTATAAAAGAAGATCTTTGGTGCATCTAAAAATCAGACTCACACAGACACATATCGGGCTCTCAAGCTCACGTCTCGAGCCTCCGCCTCGAATTCATAACATATTTGAATTCGAGATGTTCGTGATAGGAAATCATATATATTCGATTCCTCGAATTCATAACATATTTGAATTCGAGATGTTCGTGATAGGAAATCATATATATTCGATTCCTCGAATTCATAATATATTTAAATTCGAGATGTTCGTGATAGGAAATCATATGTTCGATTCAAGAACAAGCTTTTAAGCCCTTGAATCAAAATTAGAATAGGAGAGAAGAATCAGGGGAATTACGGAGATTGTAATCCACATCGTTTTGATTAATAAATTATTTGTTCCCTATTTTCTTGTCTTGTATTTTTATTATACTTTGCAGACTCGAAAAATTTGTGGTTAACATATGTATCTATAAAAATAATTCATATATAAATAAAAACTTATATATGTTTATATAAGTTGTGAAACACAATGACCCACATTTCTATTGATATGGAATGTACATAGTAAATAAAGTGCATTCTGGAAACATATTGTCTATCGCTTCATGAGTCTTAGCTCTCTATATGTCGTAAGTACACCCGGTAGACTCAGGGACGGAAAACCTTCTCACATTGGTCAATTACCATCTTTGTTTTCATGGAGCATAAATATCACTGTAATAATAAATTTCAAACCTATGGGTGAAACACCAATAATCTCCAACAAAGGCACTTTGTACTATTTTTTTTTATTTGTACTTAAAGTCGATCTCCAACAAAGGTACTTTGTACTATTTTTTATTTTTTACTTAAAGTCGATCAGTAGAACGTACGGTAACAACCTCAATATTTCGACGGACTAGGGATGAGCCCACATCATATCAATTTCATGTGTAGTTAGATCAGCGTGAATCCACTTATAATAGTTATGTTCCTAAAGCAACCCATCCAAATGTTGTAGAATTGTATGCCTGCCCCTAGTATGCTTTTTCATTCTCGTTTTTGCATTGTATATATGTCTCTAATGCACATTCTCGACTAACTTCTGATCTTTCAAGTGTGCTAAAATATTCTTCAGCGACACATGACTTTTTCCTAACTTTGAGTAATGGTCAACTCCTAAGTCATTTTTCTCGACCCATGCCCTGACATATATATTGGATCACGATTATACTTCCCCTGTAATACTCTTAAGTCCCCTCTACCCCGTAATGTTGGACTCCGACCAACTGAAAAAGCACAATTATATTTTTTGGTACCACCCATCTCGGATTTTCAACATTTATGTTTGTTGCAGTTACTCGTTTCGTCCTAAATAGATCACAAGTCACAAGTCAGATATAATCTAGGGGCCTTGAGATATAGGTCCCTAGTGACAAAACTTATTAGAACTAAATGACAAGCTCAACTAAACATTTGTTTCACATCCTTTATAAAATTCATTCCCAAAATGCCCCTCCACTAACAAATTTAATTTTTTTATTAAGTAATTAAACTGCCTTAATTGTTTTTTTTATTCTACATTTAATATTTTTATTTTTCGTCTGACCTTTTTTTATTTTTTTTTTACAAAATACCCAATGGTCTTTTTTTCTCTTTCATTCTTTATTTTAGCATTTTATAGACTATTATAAACAAACTTCATTGTTTTTTTCTTTTTTTAATACATAATATTGAAAATTACAAAAAAAATATATTAATTTTTTATTTTTATTTTATAATTCAATTTACACATTTTTTTTTTTTTTTTTAGTTTATCTTCTATCGGTACATCTATAGTTACCTTTACCGTAGTCATTATTGTCGTTTATAGGCTTCTGAAACATGTGAACTTCACTTCGACACATTCTTTGTCTGTTCATATATATACACTACAACAATCTGTAGTAGACTATGGTATACTATAGTGTACTACGGTGTACTATGGTATACTATGATTTACTACGGTAAACTATTCCGAACCCTAGCCGCGAACAACTCTCAATCGGCCAGCAGCAGTAAACGCAGCCGCAACGAAATCCTAGCAGCCAAGCCATATCTTCTTCATCAACTGCCCTTAATTTTGCTTCCATAGCCTCAGTTTGTTTCTTCTCTCCAGCCCTATCTTCTTCAACGCAAGCGTCATTCATGTAAAGGCGAGCCTTGAAGAGGTAGCGGTTAGCTCTCCCTAGGTAGCGGATATAATTGGCCCTTGCGCTCAAGTTATCCTGTACAACACGTACGGTGCGGCTGCAAAACATGTTCTTTCAATTGACGACAACACGGCTGCTCCACCATCCGTTGGGCCGCTTTAAGGCAAGGCTTCCAATCGTGTGGCACCGGAATTGGTATGCTCTTGTACTCACCTCCACAATTCAGCATTATTTCGAACACCGACTGTCCTGGAGGATCCGGCTCCAGAGTGTTGTACACTATAGCAAATAACGCGTACTCTATTGTGTACTGGATTTCGCGCCTCTCGTCATCCGGCAACATTATATTTTTTTTTTTCTTTTTCCTGCTGAATATGAATATTCCATTTAATATTAATATTAATCAAACAAGAAGACTAAAATCTCAGTGCTAAAAAAATATTGAGAATGAAAACAGGTAAGAATTTTTTATTGTTAAAATAAATATTGAACATGCAAAATAGTATACAATATACATAACAGAACACACAGAGAAAACACAGAACACGG